ATGGGCTCTAACAGCTGTACTGGATCGGTTGAAATGAGATCGCTCCCGACAGCTTAAATACAACGAGACTTATGATGGGCGGTGCCTATTTTTACTTCAAGCTTTTTAACCTGAAAAAGTTGCCTAGTAAATTTTGCGTTACCTTTTATCAAATATATGACTACTAATTCTTAATATTTTTATTTGCAACTGAAATCCAGTCTGTGGTCTTTCATCACTCAAAAGATCATGTAGTTCGCGATAAAATTGTTACCACTGGAAGTGTTTGAGTTCTCGACGTGAACACGATGATTATTGACATGCCGTTTTCCTTTAGCAGAAGGTTCTTTTCTAAGATTTGTAGGCAAAAATGTTCAACTACAGACAAAGATTTCGGTAAAAGTTTCAGCTCGATTCATTGAAGTATTATTGAGTTACAGTCTAGAAAGAGCATCACGAGGTTTTTCGCCTTTTGAATAGACATACTAAAATGATTATCACTCTATGAAGAGTTTATGGGTTTCGACGAAATTAACAACGTGGATAGCCTTACCGGCTTTAGATCTCTAGTACTTCTGATAGCTGGAATTTTATAAAGGAGGACTTCTGCCCACGAATGTATCTAATGTTGGTTATCCTTGAATATATTGTTAGTTATTTTCTTGACTTCTGTAAATTATTTTCCTATAGTACTTTATAAATTTTTTTTGCAATTTTAAATTTCTGTATTGCGACTATTTGTCTTAGATCCTCTTTTTTTTTTCATTTTATATAAAATATAAACAAAAATCTTAATCATATAAAATCATATTACTTTATTATATCGAACAAGTTTAAGTAATGTTTGAACAATGACCATACGTTGTGCTTCTAATTCTTTATTATCTGTTTTAACTCGAACAAGAAATAAATCATATACAACTGGTTCTAATGCTGATAAAGCTAAATAAAGAATTTTAATCATAAAAAATAAGAATTTATATTTTCTTGAATCATGTTTCTTTTTTTTACCATGTGTTTCAGGTTCATGTCCACTTGCTAATAATAAATCACAATGTTTTATTAAATCTTGTACTTTAATAACTTGTTTCGAATGAAGTGTATCATGTGATAACATAACAAGAAATTCAGCAATACGATAAATAAAATATGATGAAACATCATAACCTGCTATAGTTTCTTCAATCATTTCAAGTTGATTGATTATATGAGTAAGAAAATGCTATGAAAATAAATGAAAGAAAAAAAAAAAGAAAAGAAGATTAAAAGAAAAAAAACAACAATAACGAACTTCATCAGCATCTAATAAACTATAATTAACACGAATTAAAAGTAATTGAACAAGTAAGTCGAGTACAGCAGCTTGAAAATCACTTTCATTTGAATTAACATATTTTTTAAGACTAAGAATAACAATTGGTTCAAATAAACGAATATAATTGCCTATTTTTGTACGTTCAATTCGATTTGGTGGACGTTTTAAATATTCAATTGTTTTTTGTTGTTTTTTAGTTAAATAAAAACTATAGAGACAAAAACAAAAGAAGAAAATAGATAAAAGTTTTTTTTTTTCTTTTCCTTTTTAAATTTAAATTTTACTCTCGTATTGCACTATTTTCTATTGATTGATCACTGTTAACACTTGATGCATGACGTGAACCAAATAAATAAATCATCGGTTGTCGAATAGTTATTGTATGAATATTAGTTAAAGAATTATTTAATGGTATTTGTGAAACAATATTTGAAGATTTTGTTTCAGCAGATGACGATGAATTGGCTGCTAGTTGATGAAGATTTAGTAAAAACTAAATTGAAAAAGATATGTTCAGGTAATTTATACAAAAGGAAATACTACTTTTACATCATGTTTCAGAAAAATATCATTTAGTTTAGATATAGAAGAAATTTTAGAGTAGATGTGTGTGAAGAATTGTGCTCGCAAGAAAATTTATACTAGAATTCTCGAAAAACAAAAGTGATGTATTTTGTCAACTACTGACGAGAGAAGTCTTCCAACTGATACGTCACTTTCGAGTCTAGGCTAAATGCAGTATGTAGATTAAAATAAGATATGAGCACTATAAGAAGAGTTCGTACCTTAGGTTATTGCTGTGGATATATTGCAATTTTACAGTAGTGTGTTTACATGAATGCTGTGGATAACAGAAAAACTGATTTTCGAATTTCGACTTGAAACTTTGCATAGAGACTGGTCTTAACGAGAATAGGTTTTTGGAATGTTCGAAACTTGTCACTGTTTCTATCCTTAGATAGAACTATCGTAACAGTGTATCTTTTACCTTAGTCCCATAAACCGACTGATTTGATGTTCTTATTTCAGGATAGAAGCAAATAAAAAAACGTAACGCTTTCACAATAAACTACTCTTGTTAAGGTCTGACTCTATGTAAAATTTTAAATCTAAAATCAGTTTTCCTGCTACCACAGCATTCGTTTAAAAAATACTATAAAAGTGCAGTATCTCTGCAACAATAAGCTAACGGCATGAACTCTTCTCATGGTATTCATAGGTCATTTGCGTCCACATAATGCACATAGTCTCGACTTAAAAGCGATTTATCAGTTGTAGAACTTCCCTCATGAATTTTAAAATCAGATATTTGATTCCAACCTAACGTTTAACATACTATATTTAAACTATATCCACCTGACTTTATTGAATATCATTCATTTAGATAACGAAGATCTGTATGTAACTGGTAATAAAAACAAATGATTGGTGTAGCTATTGAGCATTTAATGCTTAAATGAATTTGAACCTATCTTCGTGAGCCAGAGTTATGATTGTTATATTGGAATTTTCTATCTCTAAGAATATTCTAAAGATTTTAGCTCAAGCGGATATATTTTTCTTTAGATATTGAATATCCAATGAATAGTAATATCTCACAGATAATACAATAGAACCGATTGATCTGAGACATTGAATAACTTAAGAAAAAATGTATCCGTTTGAGCTGAAATTTTCAGATTATTCTATTAGATCCGAAACTTCCATAAGGACAATGCTTCCGATAGAAATCTTTTTCATGAATATCTGACCTTGAAGTGGAAAACTGCAATGAAATAATCATAACTCTGATTTGTTAATTTATAAGATTCAATCTATTTTAGTTTCGACTATTCTCATTGAACCCTATTTACAAGTTCAATCAGTATCTGAAAGTTTGAAATATCTCGTTATAAGATATACTCTACATTTTGAAAAATCACTATGAATTGAAAACATTATAGTTTAAATCATTGTAAGTTTTCTCTTTTGATCTATTATACTTAATATCAAAAAGTAATAAAACAAAAGAAAAATCCTATTGATATTTTCTTTCGAATAAATATTTAATTTCAAAATTACCTCTTGTGTACATTGAATAGTTTTTATTTTGTCAACACTAAATGTTGATTTAAGATAATTAATTGTTTCTTCCAAATGTTTTGACAAATCTTGTATAGAAACAAGATTTAAAACTGATTTCATACTAATTAATGTTGCTGAAAGTAATTGTCCAAAACGATCATTTTCAGATGAATTTAATAAACTTTTATGTATTTGATATGATGTACGTATTAATTCGAATAATTTCATCATTGATGGATTATTTCCAAAAGCACCTAATTGTGTACGATTAAGTTTTTTATCTTTATCTGTATTTGTTGTATTTGATGTTATTGATGAATCTTTATTTGTTGTTAGTGAATTTGCATTATCAATAGTATTTGAATCTTTTTCATTTTCTTTATAAAGAAAAAAAAACAAATGAATTGAATAGTTGTTTTTTTCTTAAAATATATAGAACACTACAAAAGCTTTTCTTTTTTTTTATTCAGCCGTTCTGAAAGTTATCTAGTGAAGTCAAGTATTCTTCTATAATGCATAGACATATAAAGAATTATATGCACAATTTCAGACGTCGAGGCTTTAGATTTCTTTCAGATCGGTCAAACATTATTTTCTGTTAAAAGATTCATTAGAATGAATTCGAACGATGA